TTTTACCACTAACTGACACAGCTAGCACTGTGAATTTCACACAACAGTTTTACCACTAACTGACACAGCTAGCACTGTGAATTTCACACAACAGTTTTACCACTAACTGACACAGCTAGCACTGTGAATTTCACACAACAGTTTTTTCACTACTAACAGGTTTGACACACCACCTCAAGAGAAAAATTCCATATTTCCTAATATAATGTATTTACTCCTAAAATTGGTAATAAAAAATGGCATGTTTGATATTCTGGCAGAAAAAATCTGAAATATCACAATGATTTTCCACTAGGAAGACTTACTTTTGTGTGTACTTATTTAAGTTGAAAATGGTATTAGACCTTAAATCTGAATGAAATTTATTGCAACAATTATAAATTAATTCTTTACCATTAGTGTAACAATGACAAATGTTTCAATCTGATACGTAAAATCAATAAAATATATGTCTAACATAAAATACCGGATTTCTTATATTTTAAAAACTTAATGAAAGAGATAGTAAATAATTTACAAGTTAAGTTAAATGTCCACTTGCTCTATATTCATAATCTCATTCAGACTCTCATCAAACAGAATCCTTGGCAATAATACTATCAGGAAACAATGCTTGAAATAATCTGGTAATTACTTCATTAGAAAAAACGGGAGTGCTGTTTCTTTACTGAATCTAAGGCCCCACATGATTTCTACTTTTATTGAATATTTCAGGACAAATGCTTTCATCATGGTCATCTCATTAGGCTTTGTACTAGGCCTAGGCTGCTCATACGACATGATGTTTCCTCTTTTTTTAACCACTAGTAGAGTTATTCTGTTATCTGCATATTATTTTGATTTATCTTAGACTCAAGATCTCTGTGTTTACCCCATTTCATGTGAGACTTCAATGCTGCTTATCCCATGTTTGAGATATAGAAAGATTTGTTGCAAATGTGATATAGTTTGGCTTTGTCCTGAACTATCCAAGTTCAAGCTTTGTATGCAGGAATTTGAAGTACAAATGAACAAGAAATTATCAAAATTCTCCTACCACACAGACTGAAAAATCCTATAGATATTCAGACAAGGGTCTATCCAATGGCAATGAATTTCCAAAAAAATAGAACAAAAGACAATATTGCAGTTTATGGAATTGAGCACACTCAGGAGGAAGCCTCCATGGTGCACCGCTCCAGTGGCTAGGAGTTGGTAAATGGTAAGGACTTCCGTACTCCACTGGAAGAATTAGAGGAAAAAAATCATTGGAGAGTCCAGAGGAAAGCAGCACCAGAGACAGTGCAATGGGTGATTGCAAAAATCATATTTAGAAAAGCAGACCATTCCTGATACACCCAAGCAAAGGATCAGCAGCAATCCCCTTCTGCTTTACTCATATTAGTACATGAGTGTACAGTCTGGAGCAAATATATTTGTAATGCAAAACACTGGGATTAAAACCTACAAGCATCTCAATAGTGGGAATTATTGACCTGAATGGTCGTACAGTGTGGGTTTAATAATAAGGATACCTTGTCAGGCAACACTCGCCACTGAGCAGGATCCGTATATGCAAGAAAGGCCCCCTGTAAAGAAGAAAAGTAGAAAAAGAGCACCTACCCACTCATATTGAAATTATGAAGCTCAAGATGCCTATAAAAGGTAGACGGTAGCCATTAGAGCGGGAAATCGGTCAGATGATGAAGATAATGTAAATAAATGTATGGGGAGTAGTCCACATACCAGCACAAACTATATCCTCTAATGGACAACAACTGAACCAGGCAGCCAGGGACAAGGTAGGTGAAGGAGGAGAATTTGAATAGATGACAGTCATCAGGAGACGGTGAAGAAAAATTTCTTATTTCTTCCAATTACTTTGCAAAATCTCAGCTGGATAAATCAATTCCATACTTATCAAACTACGTATTTTGAAACAAATTATTATTTAATTACACATGCCAACAAAAACAAATTGTATTATTAGCATAACTCTTCTAATTCATACACATTTTCTGACAGCACAGTACATATATTGCAGCAACAAAATTACCCGAGAAGTGTTCCCAAGAACGAAATAAAATTCACGTCGTCGCATACCGTACGTGATCCAACAGGAACTGGATTGAAAATCTGAACTTAGTGCATCATAAATGAACTAAATGATCGTGATTCAACAAGATTCAATTGTAAACGACTTGAAAGAGATTGGTAATTCAATTTTGTGTGAAAAAAAAAACACAAAAAATTGCAAGTAGCAAAAACTCCGACTCGCATTATGAAAAATCCACTCACAGAGTGCAAGTGCTAAAATCAAGCCCTGAGTATCCATTCCACGTACATACTTTTCTGAACAATCAGTGAAAATTGACCATCACTCTTATAGCACAACCACTGTCCTGAAGAGTGAAGGGTGTTTTTGTGACAACAAGATACAAACATTGCACCCTTGGATTCAAAGTCCACTGGGCCACACCTTGTCCACATATTTAGAAGTAGGTCTCCTTCCTCTCTTAAGTAATGTTTGAAACATTATTATATTTTCAAACAGTATATTCTATATCCAGTTTCTTAAAGATATTCAAGAATTAGAAGAGGGTATAATAATAGTATTCTAATATTTCCTTACATATTGTATCAACAATTAATGTTTACGAAGCAAAATGTTCCTTAGTGACCACAAAAGCTACAACACAAAATTGTCAAAAATTGTACTTTGCTGAAAATCACTATAATATTAAATCATATTGTTCATTTGTCTCAGTATGAATTTATATTAATTTCAACTGAAGGTAACCAACAAGTCATAGCTAAGTTTGGTTTCACAGTAAGTTCTTTTAAAATTTTTGGGTACCCGGTTACTCATCTAGGTAGGATGTTTATAGATGTTTCAAGGATGGTTTAATTGATCGTTTGTGATTTCTTGATAAAATCACTTGGCTTGGCCACAAGTACGTAACAGAAACTACAGAATCATTTTCAAAAAAAGACAATATTATATGCATAAAACAGTATAATAAAACAGACGTGAATTAGTAATTAATCCATCTGTTCAATACCTAAAAAAAGAAGTTATCATTGCAAATGTCTTTTAATGCAAACCTGACCACTATCAACACAATAGAACAGTTCTAACATGCAGAAGACAAGACAAGATAAACCATAATGCCACACAGTTTAAGTTTACTTTGTGTGCAATGATGCCTTTATTTTTCTAGCAAAATCATATCTAAAACTGCCAATAATAAAAGGTTATGAATGTTTAGATAGAAAAGTAAAAGAAAATAGTAAATGGTATAATTATAAATGAAAGATGAAAATGATGTTAACCACAAAACTTTTTGTAGCCATCGTGTACACTATTAGCTTAGGCTTACAAAGTATAGGTTACTGTATGTATTCTAACTATTCTGCATGAGGTATTGAAACAAATTCAAACAAACATCTCTCCATTTTTTAACTTTTCACCAATTAATAACGAGCACTGGTTTAGTGGTCATGAAATTAGTAACAAAGTATAAAGTTTCTAACTGGTTCATTGATTGGATACTATTAACTTACTAATATCGGTAACTGGTAACAAATCAAAGTAATCTTCAACTGTTCATCCTGGCTGACTGTCATTACACAATACCCGTGCTGCACAGACTTTTACGTATGGACGTTATGGCATCTACAGCCACCTGTCATTATAACACACATATTACAAATCACACAGTCATCAGGTTTGAAAGCTTCCTATGAATGATAGGCCTAACTTCTGTCCTAGAATGTTGATTGTGCTATGTACAAAATGGTGGTAACCACAAACTGACTGCATGTAGTGAATCAGCCAATAATCATTTAACAAAGAAAAATGGACTATTCAAAATTTCCTGCTTACTTAATTGATTCTTTGTCTCCTATATTCATTACTGTCAATGGAAAAGATAAATGTTTGTATAGTATAATCAAATTTTTGAGAGCATAACGAACAGTCGAATAACTTGATTTATAAGGTACTCGAGGATTTTTTTTTGTACACTGTTAAACTTAAAGATCAATGACTTACTAATGAATGTCACTGGTCTGCCATTAGAATTTAATCTGAGTCTACATCACTATGATTTCTTCCAATTTCATCTTCACTCTCTTTGTTGTGACTTTTTTGCTTACTGTTGTCTCTTTAAAATAATAGTTTGTCTGCAGCTCTGTTTACATTACTTTGACTTAAACTCTACATAACTTTTTTTAAGTAACTGGGTAACAGATGTGACAGGTGAGTATCCAGGTTTCCAGTTACCAAGTGGAAACACTAGTGATTACAATACTAGTTCAACACAAAACTTTAACTGAGATATATAACACACAAACTTACAGTCACTGTATCTTTTTCATATCTAATGGAAATGTGAGTCTCATGATCAACTCCTCGAAATTTGGCTTCACAACCAGCCAACTCAGTGTGAGTGCCATCACGATCATGGTCATAGTGTAGGGTGCCATTGTTGACCATTGCAGATATATATGGATGTCCATGCTGAAAAAAGGTAGTGATATCAATAACATACATTGTACCACCATGACATATCAACTTGAAGTGTCATACATGACAGAAAAATTCTTCTTTGTAATAACTTTAAAATTACACCAAGCTTCTATAACTAAGAGAAAACCTGAATGTAATAGACCCTAACACAACATTTCTTTGAAGCTAAGAACTTAACTATTTTCAATAAAAACAACAAACTAGTACATATATATAAAGTTTTGGTAATGATAATTTTTATCACAATTTTCAAAATAGGGAAGATATTTTTGAAAAGGCCTATGTGAAATATATATGTATACATACATAAGGATCGTTCTAAAATCTGACCCAGAATAAGTCACAACTGAAAATAGTTTCCATCTTCATTCAGCACTAAAATCTTTAAGGAATAATAAAAAATCTATTATCATGGACAGGTTTTCTCTCTAAACTTCGACTGCCTACTTACAACAAACTGTAAAATTGATCAGAACCATAAAACAGATTGGTTTCTTATATAAATGTAAACATCATCAACTGATACCTTTTGGTATAACTCAACTGGTGTCTTCCACATTGTGTCCTAAATAGCGGTAAGTTCCTCTGTTGCCATATTTTTAAATGGCATTCTTCATGATATGATATGATATGATATTCATGATATGATATTGATGCTATGTACACTAAGAAATCAAAACACTCAACCCTAATCAAGTCATGTCAAGATATCCTGAAGAAGTGCCACAAATGTAGTCTCCATCAATGGACATTCACCACTGTTAACCAAAATCAAGTAAAAAGAGTACAAATACAGTAATACAAACTAGAAAACAAGTTTAAAAGACTAGCATGCATGACTAAGAAGAAATTCATGTCTGTAAGTAAATCCAATGACCATGATTTGAATGACAGGATTACAGTTCTAGATAACCTAAAAATTTCCAAGGACTACATTTCCATCCCCTCCAAAGGTCCTAATTTTGCTATTTCATGTCAACTAACTAAAAAGGTAACTCTTGATAGTTGTTTATCTCTTCACCAATGCTTCTACAAATTAAGATTTCATGAAAAATATTCTTCTTCCAATATAGACATATCTAACTCCAACAAAAATGTGGATGAAACAATTTAACCTTTCTCCTGTACCTTTTGATTTTCCTAAACCCATACCTCCCAAAACATGCCTTACTACAGTATTGAGAGACTTAAAAATAATGTTGACAGGATTTTAATGATCATTAAGAATTATCGGGTAGAATCCAATCTTTCAAGAAATGAGCAGTTACTTATCAATGATCATATAATTGTGAATACATCTACTTATGTAGAAAAGATTAATGTACATTTCAAGGATATGTCTACTTATGAACCACTTAGCAAAGGCCCTACAAAAGAATTGGAGAAAAATGTTAAAGACATTTTGAATAACTTTAATAGTAAACTACTATACTCATGCAACTTCTAGACAATCTTATATAACCTCATTCAAAACCCCTTGAAATGTATAGATTACCCAAAGACTACTATACTCATGCAACTTCTAGACAATCTTATATAACCTCATTCAAAACCCCTTGAAATGTATAGATTACCCAAAGGTCAGAAACCTGACACACGTCTAACACTTACAAGTCCCCATGTGCAACTCTCCGTTAGCATTTGTATCTTGAGTGCTCGAAAAGCTACTTCACACCCTCCTCAACAAGTTTCTTTACACCTAAATGCACCAATGACGTTCTCAAAAGATTACGCAAAGACAGTTTACGGATGAGTTTGAACACTATCCCATTTACTCTTAAATCTTGTCTCTATGTGTCCTTAAAAGAAAGTATAAGCTTGATTATGAGACTCATTAGATCATCCACCCCTTCTACTACCAGTGAGAACTCATCAAAAATTCTCAAAGATTTGTTCTCACCAAAAATTACTTTAAATTTAATTCAGTATCACTATGGGCAACAATACTGCCATTGTTTTGGTCTCTATTTTTATGTATTTCTCTGAATCATCAGCTCTTTCTTAGTGAAATTTTGAAACTAATCTTGAACCAAGTACGTGGTACAGGTATACTGATGACATTTTTTGGTATATAGCATCATGGACTACCTTCTCTTAAGGAAGTTGTTGAATTCCTAAATAATCAACACCCCAACATAAAGCTCACACTTATTCACCTTACTATGATGGACACAGCATGTATGTCAGTATTTATGTATGTAACCAAAACTGCACCATCTACTGAATTGCACCACAAACAAGAATCCATAAAAAATTTCACGCTTTGTATATTCAAGATTTAACCAATTAGAAAAATAACTGTGGTATGTCACAACTATGTTATGCTATGCCACGACTAATAACTGTGGTATGTCACTCTATGCCATGACTAATAACTGTGGTATGTCACGACTATGTCACGCTATGCCACGACTAATAACTGTAGTATGTCACGACTATGTCACGCTATGCCACGACTAATAACTGTAGAATGTCACGACTATGTCCCGCTATGCCACGACTAATAACTGTGGTATGTCACGCTATGCCACGACTAATAACTGTGGTATGTCACGACTATGTCACGCTATGCCATGACTAATAACTGTGGTATGTCCAACAACCATTTCTTTATAACAGAAGACAATTGTACTCTCCTCACAACAAGAACACGACTTTCACGAGGACTGTATGTAATTGTTTGATTATATCTTTACTGTAGTACTAAGAAACTGGAGTTCTTAAAAAAAACTATTATTTTTTCAATAGAGGATAGTTATTTTAATATATAAAAACATCACAGTTTATATCAGTAAAATTTATGAAAATGTTGAGCTCTGTACATTGAATCATTTTGATACAACGAGTTGATTATGGCTAAAGAGAACAATCTGAAAACTTTTCCCGTGCAGTACTTCCCAGAAAAAAATAATTTTTTTAGAAATGGAGTATGAATACTACGATTAGTAATTACTAGCGCAAACAGCTGGCCATAGGGCAGTATTTCTGTTCAGTAGTCTATATCCTTCCTTGATGTCATGGTCACTATTAATTAATAAACAGCATACTTATTACTGCCATATATTCCAAACAATGTGTTAAACCCATTATTCAACACAATAACTTACACAATCCACCAGTTACCAAAATGAGGTATCATTATCCATCAACTTAATAGAATTGAAAAATTTGCGACACTATGGACAGTAAGATGCAAGCATGGATGAAACTTCAAAAAGCTACTGTTGTCCAATGGTTACCCATATAGTTACAATTTTGACTCACAAGATTTTAACACACGACAGCAAAAAAGAAACAACAACATCAGAGCACTGTTTCTTGGATATGCACTTTGTGGATAAACCTCTCACTACTTATCTTTGTCAAGCAATTAGAAGATTTGGTTTGAATATTTACAACATACAAAAACCTGGTAAAATACTGACGGGTATACTTACTCGTTCAGCCTTCAATAGCAACCCATCCAAATCCAAAAAGTGCTTGCTAAAAACAATAAGTTAAAGAAATCCTGCACACTTAGGAACACCGTCTGTGAAATGACATGTAAATGGTATTCAACTACATAAGTAGGTGAATTCAGTCATCTAATACACGATTGTTTCAACGAACACACTTGTGACACTGCAAATCTTGACAACAAAGGAGCCAACACTGAACATCAGATGAATGTATATAGCATAATTAATGAGACAACTTATTGGATCCAGATTTTAGAGATTTGTGACAACTTTCATGACATGAAATTTAAGGAATCTTTTTCCACTCAATCCAAATACCCTTCCATTAAAAGATAAAATACCTGGCCCATATAAAACTATTACTACTTTGTATAAGATTTTTTATTTTTCTATATATTTTTTTAAACATTTACTTTTATGAGCAACAGCTTTAACCTGTTCAACAATACTTTTAGCATCCTTCACTGTGCGACCTGTGACGTTCATAACCCTTAAAAGAGACCTAACCTGAAATGTCAGGTAGAATAAAAAATATTTATCTAATGTTGTTTGTTGTCTTTATTGAAAATGGTTTCCATCCTTCAGTCAGCACTGAAAACTTTAAAAAATAATTATTACTTAACTCTATAAGAAAAGGTAAAAATAGTAAATTGATTGATAAGTCTAGTCTGATGGAAAATACAAATATACTTAAGCAAACTTCTATTAAAAAGGTTAAATTTTCAAAATCCATAAAAACAAATCTTAAGCTTTTGAAAAAGTCCAACTTTGAAACTTTGTAAGTATGGAAATTAGCATTTTCTTCCACTGAAAATGTATTTCCAAAAGATGCCTACACTCATGTAATAGCTTTTCCTGCTTTGTGCTGCCCTCCATATGCACAATCTTTTGGCTTACACTCAAGTATTTCCATTTACTACTGCTGCACTGTAGCTTGCAATAACTCTCCACCAATAGGAGTGTGACACAACATCTCAGCTTCTACTGCCTTTCACTGTCTATAGCCAGATGTGGGAAGGCAGTTACCCTTAAATTTCTTAAAGTAGAAATGAAGCCACCCTAATATTTCTACTAATTAAACTCCCAACCTCCACCCTTACAAAAAGATATTAAACAGAACTATAAAATACTGAATAGAACTAAACACCCTACTTTAAAAGTTCTTATTCCCAACCTCCTCCCTTTCTTCTGAAGATTTATTCAAGTGTAACACGGGAATGCCTAGACAAGCCCAGCTACTTGAAGTTCCATGACGTTTTCCATCCTGGTTATACTGAATAATATTACTTGAAAAACTGCTATTAGCTACTTATAAATTAAAGTAACTAACTCCCTCTTTATCTTATTTATTTTCTTTTATCGATACTTTAATTTCTAAAAAACGTTTGTATTTATTAAAAAATAAAGTAAGGTATTTCTTTAATTGCCTTTCTTTATAGCCATTATCTTTCAGTTTATTTTTTAATAATAGAACATTATCCATAAAACAATTATAGTTATTACCGACTATTAACAGTTGTTTTAGTTGAGATATAATAATACCTTTTAACCCTTTCGAGACAGGTCATGGGTGAAAGTCCATGTCATCTCGTTTGTTGATTCGCATTCAAAATTTTATTGAATTACTATTTCTTGAATTTATATCAATAACTTTGGTACCGAACTGTAAATTAGAATTCAAATTTAGAACTATACATTACCCAATTTCTTAATTTAAAAGTAAATATTAAAAACACAGATAAATATCAATTTTTGTGTGTCACATGATATGTTAAATGCAGCACTGGTTCAAATTAGATGTTTTTGAAGTCAAAATATTAAGTCTATAGTTTTGTACGAATTAGAAACTCAAATTACCGATACTGACAAGCTAGAATATAAAATATTAATGTCTTATCTTTTCTACTTGCTAAGATATTGCTCATGTAATAAATCAAACACATTGGCACCCCACCCACCTCTTTCCCTATTGGAAACACTCCCTTATATACACTTACTTTTATATATGATGTGAATAACTAATCAAAAGCTCAGAATGTCCCATGGCTATCTCAGCCATTTTGAAAGGTTTGGATGCCATTTCTTTCTTTGGAACTAATATTTCAAG